AAAGAGAATAAATCCAACCTAGTATCAGTGACACTTGAGAGCATGAAAGGACGCAGTGACCTTTGAAAGATGGACGTTAAGATATCTCTCAAAAAGCAAGAATAATAGAGAAACAAAAGAGTATGTCACAGGAAATTAGTCCTCCTTGCTACATTGGGACAAAAAGCCAATGTAAAGGCTTTGTACAAATGTGAGTTATACTCATTCACTTGTTTAGGGCTTAGTGGAAAGAGCAAAGGCAGTCTGTTGAGAGTGATAGGTTTAAAGTAAGCAAATTCTGCTGCCAATCCTGGCTACAATACTCAGCAATGAGTGAAGCTGGGAAAGTGGTCTTACTGGAAAAGCAAGGAAACACCTGCCCCGAGGTAGCCTGGGATTGTTGCACATACAACAAACAAACATATGAGGGGAAAGGGATGTCCTGGAGACACTGAAACTACTGTGCACATCTAGCTGCTGCCATAAAGATGGCCCCCTCGTATGCTTGGGATGCACGGTGGTAGGTCAGATAACTAATGAATGTTCCCTTGGCTTTGGGAAATAAATGCTAGCTATAGAAACATTGACTCTGGATTGAGGAAAAAAATACTGATGCTGTTCTTATAATCCTCATTGCAAATGTGCTAGTGGAAATACTAAACTAAGTAAACTAAACTCCCTAAGATCAGCATTGACCCAAAGTGGACCTGAGTTGGAAAGAAGCCTGTGACTGGGTATCAAATAGAAAATCAGGTTTTGATCATAGCAAGATCCTTCACTGTGTGGTTGTGGGAAAATTATATTCCTTGAAGATGCACCTCCTAATTATTGTTTTTTTTCACCTATAAGAGGGGTGAAGGAATGTGAACAACAACTCCCACCTTGCAGGGTCAGATGACTTTACATAAGACATTGTGTCTGGTATAGAGCCTAGTGCCTGGCAGATCGTCCATAAGATGTTGTCATCTTATTTCCCTCAGTTTCACAGTGAGGCCTGCTGATGTGTGCATTATCTGTTCTATTTCTGCCTTGGATACCGTCGTATAGCTCCCTGTGTCTACCAGGTCCACTTGCACCTAGGGATCCATTGAAATGCTTATACAAACTCAACCTTTCTCCTAACATGTCTTTATCTTAAAATCATATCTCTTTCTTTTATGTGTGTTGAAAGTATTTAATCGATCATATAATGGTCTCTTATAAAACTTAGTATGACAACAATTATGATTCCTAATATCGCTGCTGAGCCTGAACTTATTCTGGGTGCATTCAGAGAGCTTCTCCAATTCCCTTAATGATTTCTTCACAGTAACACCAAAACAGAATATTCAATAAAAATGCTGTTTTATTTTCTCAGATGGAAAAGTATGAATGCTATATGAGGGTTATCTAAAAGTAATTAGTATGGCTTATATATAGGGGAATGTGTGTGTGTAAGAGAGAGAATTTAACTTTTTTTTTTAGCCTTTTTGGCCTCCCTCTACCTCCCTTTTAAAAAGATTTGACACTTTTAGATTAGTGAAGTCCTATTCATCCAGCTAAATACTTAAATGTCATTCTTTCTGATAGCTCTCAACTAAGCAAAGTTCCTTCATTCTCCTTAGCACCAAATAGAAGGAGTCTTACCTTCTCTTACCTACTGACATTTTGTGTGTACCACTAGGCACCATTGAGACAAATTCTGCTCCTTCTACAGGGTCCCAAGAAGAAGCCCTGTGTTTGCAACCCAGCTGGTAACTGTATACATTTTGGTGGAAGGGAGAGCAGATCCAACCTAGTGTCCCTTGTTTTTTTATTGCTTTCTTTTTTTTTTTTTCTTAAGGTGCTAAATGTGGACCATGCGGTATGTCTTCAGAAGTGTAGAAGTGGGTCAGATATGGATTATAGTTGAAGAAAAGACATTTTACATCTTTCTCCTTTCCATCTGCTCCAAGTCATGCTACTATTTTAATTCTGACACAGAAACTTCCACTGCAATTAAAAAAAAAAACACAATATTCTTTCCACATTACAAAAGAAAAGGATTAATTTGAAATAACTCTTTAGCCATACATAGAGCACATTATGATATATTGTGGCTTCTTTTCCCAAAAAAATCTGAGGGAGATATTTTGGCATTGTCTTTCTCCATTGTGACTTATGAGCTATTTTAAAAGGAAGCTCTGTGTTAAAGGACAGAGATTCCAATAGAGCTAGCCAAAACTCTGTGACATTTGTAGTGTCATAAATTCCTGGACTCTTTCATTCTCTACCATTTTAATTGATGCAATCACATTGACTGTGTAAAGGCTTTCAAATACTCTGTGCAGTCGTAACACAGGTAAAGAGAATAAGTATTTCCCACTGCATGGTGAATCCTTGGCGGAAACTGAAAACAAATGTTAGGTTTGTTGAATTCAGGTTGCTTATATCTCAGCACACATAACTCCAGTTAAGTTGACCATCACAGCAAAAGCCACAACACACACACATACACACACAAAGAGCAGCACGTAGCTAACCACACGACTCCACAGATGATGCAGACAAACTTGAGTAGAAACCAAGATTGTTCTACCTCTTTTCATAACAGGTTAGTGCTGGCCCTCAGTGTTGGTGTACAGTTTTTATGGCATGGGAAAATAGGGATGTTTCTGCCCTATAAAAATAAATGTGTTGAAGTCTTTAGTTTATGCTTACACAATGTCAGAAAGTTCCAAAGGCGCTGGCACAGAACAAAAAATAAAAATAGACAAAATAAAAGAAAATAAAAAAAACAAGAGAATCCAACAAACAAATATATATATCACCATAACACATGGCAGGAAGCTAAGAGCATTCTTGGAAGAAAGCTACTGGTTTCTCAGATTAATGCAACAATTCTCAACACCTTTGAGGAAAATAAAGAATATGAATGATAAACTGGTAGATCTTCTTTAACGTGGGAGAGCAGTTTGCTACCAATAGCCACTTGGCTTTAAACTGCTCATTTGATCATTTTCTCCTTTTAAAGGTTGAAAGCACATAACTTTCATTGTCTTAATCTTTTAAACATAATGAAGAGCTGAGGATAAGAACAAAGAAATGCATGCAACTATTGTTAATAAGGAAAAAGATACATGAAACACAGACACAGAGAGTAACTTAATCCTTCATTGTATACATCATGCTGTACACTTCTTTCCAAACCTTAGTTCAGCCCATGTGGTTGTTCCTGCATGACAGCTTTTATTCTACTCTATAAAGGGTTGGGGAGAAAGATAAGTAGGAAGCAGGATTATGGGTTTAAATAGAGACAATATTTTTGGTGTCCAAGAATACAAGGTGGGCAATTGGAATAAAAAATGGGAAAAATTTCATTGATAGTAATGACTTGTAATTCCTCAAAAAGTAAAACTTACCACATTCTGTGCAAATTTTTCAAAAGATGTTCTGCGATCCATTGAGTTTCCAGACTTAAATGTGTGGTGAGGGGTGAAGGGAGTAGGATAAAGGAATATTAAAAGAATAAATAAATAGAGGCAAGATAAACAGAACAGAAAAAGACAGGATGGTAAGCCCACGTATGAAAGTCATGAACACTGCAAGGGGTTGCCAGGAGACACTTCTCATCGCTGGATCCAGGCTTTTTGATTGGGCATGATTTTATTGAAAAAAAAAAACAAAAAACAAAACAAAACAAAAAAAACAAAAACAAAACAGAAACTATACTCTAGCAAACAAAACGGTGTGCTTTAAAGCAGAATCAAGTTAACCAGAAATGTGGCAGATAGGGCAAGCTTTTATGATGACCTTTGCAAAGCCTAAATATCTGAAAACCTAGGGGCAATTTCTTTAGAACTGACTCCAAATATTCTATGAAGGTTGAATTTCTGTCTACAGTAATTGGATAAAGGGTTGCTGTAGGCTAGACCTTGCTCTAAGGATGGAAATTCCATTTGATTCTGCCTCTTATTAAAGACTCTGTCATGACTGAGCACTTGAAATTTGTCTAAAAATTGTTTCGTTTTAATTAATTAAAATTAATTTTAAATATCAATATTTGTCACATTAGTCAGTATATAGCCTCTTGCAACTATTTTTATCTATAAAGGCAATGGGCTATGGAAAAAAAAAAAAAACCTCATTGCCCTAAATGATGAATTAAAAGAACTATAGCTTAATCTAAGAATTGTAAGCATTTGTGGGTTTCTTTAACATTAAAAATTAATGATGGGCTGAAACGATGGCTCAGAGGTTAAGAGAACTGGGTGTACTTCTAAAGGTCCCACATTCAATTCCCAGCAACCACATGGTGGCTCATAACCACTTATAATGAGAGCTGGCACCCTCTTATGGCATGCAGGTACACATGCATGCAGGATACTGTATAAATAATAAATAAATAAAATATAAAAAAAAGAATGATGTTGATTTTTCCTACGGATTTTCTATTTAATGTTACATTCATTATATAAGGGACATATTGTGGACAGTGAGACTTTGATTACAAACACTGATTAATTGATGAAGTCTACTACAAATCTTTCCAGATGTGCTTGTTTAAAAAACGTTGTTTAAAATAGGTTATCAAGACACTAAGTAAACTGGGACATAAGTAAAATAAAAATATTTATCTGCTAACACTATTGTACTTTATCAGCTATTTTTTAAAAATGTAATTATGTTTAATTATAAACATACATGCTAGCTTCATAAGTGAATGAAACTGTCAAGTTTCACCACCAAACTCCTTTTTACTGGAGTTTTTCATTTCTTTTAACTAGGAATACTCAAGATTAACATTGAAACATGAAAACAGTTTTTAATTGCCTTTGTAAAGCATGGACAAGCAGCAAAAACAACTGAAAAATAATACACAGAGCAATCAACAAACAAAACCAAAACCAAATTAAATGGCCCTTGGAAAAGGATGGGCTTGGGAAAAGGTCTTAGAAAATGGATACTTACCTTTTGGCAGGAATCCCGGCCCAGCAGTGGTATTTACTGTGATTAATCATAACTAGAAACTAAGGTCAAGAGAGGTCACAAAGAACCAGTACCTTTCTCTTTGCCTGTAGAAGTTCCTGGTAGGCACTAGATCTTATAAAACGGGGATATGAGTCGCTCTTCATCAGCTTGTAAATGTGCTCCTGGGAAGAGAGAAGGGGTGAGGGGTTCCTGTATGAGTTTAATGGAAGAAGGAAACACTATGATGAGAACACTCCGGTGGCTAAAAAACAAATGAAGGAGGAGCTAAAAGTAACAACTGCGATGCTGATGAGGACACCTTATGTCTACAGGAATTTGGGTCTCTCAGTCCCTCATTTCTTTCCCAGAGCAACGCACATTGGGCTGGGAACTACTCACGAGGAAAACCAATGTACGGTCATTTTAAAAATGGAATTTAGTCAAGGTGAGGCACATTTGAAATATTTCAAATCAGTGTGATAATTTATGCGGGACATTTGAGAATAGAAGTAAATCTGCTCTCTTGAAAAATGACTTTAAGCCCAAAGTGAATAATATGACATCATGGCTGTACAGTCATCTCGGAGGAGTCTCTAGGCACCCACAGCTTTTGGGAGAGTCAGGCAGCCGGGTAGATCTTGCCCTTGGGACAAATTCTGTGATAAATTATCTTCCACACCTAATTTAGCTCAGGACTCAACTCTGAAATCAGCTATTAGATTAGTGAAGGGACAAATCCCCAAATCCCTGTGCCTTTTATTTTGCTTCTACGGTGTCCTTCGTGTTAGTCATCTCTTCCTAAAACATCTGCAGAGTTCTTCCTCTTCCTTACCCTTTGGACTGAGGAACAAGCCTTATACACTCTAGATAAACCCCCTACTGACGAGCTACACCTTAGCCTCCCTTATATTTTACTGATGGATGCTGACAGAGAAGTCAAGCAAAAAAATTATTTTTCATTTAACACAGACTTGATCTAATCTGAACGTTCTGCACTGGCAGTTCAGGTGGAACTTACATGTTTCCTTGTCTCCCAAGTCAGTTAGTTGTACATGATGCATGATGGAGGAGTAACCTGGATGGCCCTTGAAATTCTCACATGTAAACAGTAAATTTACATTAAAAACTTTCCCAGGGGTTTAAAAGATGACTTACTTTGAAATGTCTTTGTTCTCTCCTCAGTCAATGAAACTTATTCTATGTCCAGTGACCTGAACTTTAAACACGGTAGAGAGCTGTTGGCCTCACGGCTCTGAGATGTTTAGACCCTGTACTGACCTGGGCGTCTTCGAATGTGTATCGTCCTGGTTCCTTCACATTTTGTGTGGTCTTGTCATAACTCTTAGAATCCAAGTTGATGGCACTGGGGGCCCCTGGTGCTAGAAATTCTTGCCATATTTCCTGCACTCGAGAGGGCACTTCTCGGATAGGCCTTTTCTTTAGGTCCTCCACTGCCAGCCAAAACCTGTAAAACACCACAGCACCTCTGTGCTCCAAAGGTGCACCTGGAAGGTCTTGTAACATTCACTCACTACTCTAGCAAGCTTACTTTCTTGGGGAATCCACTATCATGCCCCGACTAGATTTATCAAGTGTCATATTCAAAAGCATAATACTTCTTTTTCACTTCTATTATTTTTTTATTTTTTTTAAGATAGGGTTTTCTGTACCCAAAGCTGGTCTTGAATTTCTTGTGTTGTGAGAGATGATCTTGAACTCTCGATTTTCATGCTTTTCCCTCCCTAGTATTCAAAAATCCCTTTAGAAGGAAAGATTGAAAAATCACTGATATTCACTGCCTTTTATTAAAACCACATGAGCCAGAGCCGTGATCCTATAGAGTCTCAGTTTCACCGAAGCAACAGAAGAGGGGCTTCTAATAGAACACATCCACACTGGAAAAGTTGCAGTGCTGTGAAGTACCCTGGAGTCTCTGTAGATAGAACATGCTAGGCAGCCTGAGAATGCTGAGCCGGAAGGAGTCCTGATACAGAGGCAGGTTTGCAGATGGAAAAAGTAGGGCCCAGGGAAGCTGTTCTACCCACATTGACATCAGAAATGAAATGGGCCTGGAAATAAGTGTACAGGAGCTGAGCGCTGAGGTGCTCATGTGAGCACATAGTATACTGCTATGTAGGTTGCAGGTATTACATCCTCACTAAGTGTGTGCAATCCTCACAGTACTCCCTGCTTTAGAGGATAGGGAAGTGAAGATGTGAGGATTAAATGATTTATTGAAGGCTGGCCACGGGAGATCTGGAGCAGGTGGCATCTCGCAATCATTCCATCACACTGTTTCCCTAAGAACAGCACCACCTCTGTATTTTCATCGCTATTATTGGCATCGTTGGCTTAGCTTAGTGAAATGGAGAGGGTACCGGTTTCAATCCCACTCTTTGCTTACAAGCAGCTGGATTCTGAGAGAGCCATGACATCCCTGCATCTTGTATAGTGGCATGAAAAGGCTCATCTCAGGAATTAAACTGTGATCATCAGGCATACAAGGAAAGTGTTTCTGCTTTTTGAATTATATCAACGATCCAATCCAAGCACCAGGAACTGGACCTAGGGTCTTACACACATTACACAAGAGTTTCACCACAGAACTCCAATTCCAGCCATGTGACTGAAATACACACCATCACATTCAGATTTAAAACAAAACAAACAAACATGGGTTCTGGAGATCAAACTCTGATTCTCATGCTTGCAAAACAAGCATTTTACTGACTGAGCCATAGCCTCTTTTCTCTTTATCTTTGGCCCTGTTGTCTCCTCGTTATATACTCTGAGCCCAAGAGCCATTTCTGCTAAGATGCCTGTGCAAGCTTTAGGCTGTGTGTCCCTCTTATACTCTCCTATCTAAGAGCATCAGCATCCCATTCCTTGGGGCCACTTGTTTTATTATCTTCACCTGCCACTGAACTATAATTATGAGGAAGGGGCATGTTTATCTGAGTAGATGATACTGGAGAATCTTATTACTTTTATTTAAAAAAGCAAAAAAAAAAAAAAAGAAGTAAAAGAAAGAAAAAAAAAGAAAAGATAAAGAAATTCCTACTCTGCAACACACTCATCAACTGAAATGCTCAAAATATCCTTTTCCTTTGAGTTATTCTTACTGAATTCTTGTACTTCATCATTGATAATGTGGGTTCACTTAGGAAAATTTTAATTACTGAAACCAACAAAAATCCCTAGGATTCTCCAACCTCCTAAAACATATACGAGAATCTATGACAGACATACAGAGAAAATGAAAGGATTCCAGCTCTGACTGTGGCCCATTCCACCTCAACTCTGAGACATCTGCTATGTTTATGCACGTTTCTGATTATCTCCTGAAGAGAATGCAGCAGTCCTTTGTCTAGCTTAGTTCCCATGAAAGAAAAATAAATGCCAAATATCTTTCCATAAATGACATGATAAATAAAAACAGGATAATATCAGGTTAAAAAAAAAAAAACAATGCACAAAGAACCTTACAGTAATAAATAAATAAATAAATAAATAAATAAATAAATAAATAAATAAAT